ATTTAATATACCCTCCATTGTATGGTGGAGGGTATAATTCACATTTAAGATTCCATACGGGACCATGTAGATAGCCAGGTGGGTCATTTATCTATGGTAATATGGGCCACCTATTTAGGGTCAAGACGAGAAGTGAGAAGGGGATAATTTTCGTCGGAGAAACTACAAAGATGAAGTTGTTCAAAAAGGGCATTAATTGATCGCTTAAATTCCCATTGCAGTTATGTATGTATATGTGTGTCAGAATCATTTGACATCACTGATACCCGATCTACACACATGCCTACAAGCTACCATGTGATCTTAAAGCTTGGGAGCAAATTGTCATGGAACAAAAAGGGGGGCAACTACAAAGAATTGATTTGTCACGCTGCTGCATAAATTTCATAATTACATAAACGTTGCTCGCCAAGCTTTGCTGGGTTCTTTTCTTCTAGATTTTTGTGTTTTACTCGCCTCACAAATGCCATAATTGTTTTAGCTGCTATTCACTGGCTCAGAAACAGCTTACTTACTGTATGAATGAATGAATAAATCTGGTGGCATTGTGGCGGCAAGGGGTTACATAGTTCACATTCACATTTGTTGTCGCATAGCCAGCTAGCTAGCCATCCAGGCCGCTTAAACGCCAGTAATCACGTTCTCAGTCATTCTAGTAATCAGCCATTCAGCCAGCCAGCCAGTCATTGGAACGTAAATAACTAAATTCCAGCAATTTAAGTTCAATACATATTTGCCGGATATTTCCGTATGCGAACACGTCTACACATGTGTACGTGTATGGTAAATGTGTATGTGCTGCCTAGCTGTGGTGTAGCAAGTGCAAGCTGGAGCTGAAGTTTCACACTGGCGTTTAAGTTAATTAAATGAACATAACTGAAGTTTCTACGGTAAACATAGATTTTTCCGCTTTCCGCTACAATTTTGAAAGTCATCTATCGAAGCCTTGTTGGCCGTCCGGTCAGACCCAGTCACTGAATGTAAGTGAAGTTGGTTAGTAGAGGCGGAAGTGCAACAAGGTTAAGCTGGAAATGTGTGTGTGTATGGCGTCACTCATATTTCCACCACGTCAAATTTGATCTTATTTTCCGCATTGGGTGAGAGGTGATTGGGACAAAGATTTCCATTATAACCTTCACCACAGTACTGACGGTATATTAAGTTTATCATTCCGTTTGTAACACCTCGATATATATATTTTACACCCCACAAAGTATATATATTCTTTATCGGCATAAAATTCTATGTCGATTTAGCGATGTCCGTCCATCTGCGGAATTCACTCTGGCTTCCGAACGAAATGAAGTAGGGTGATAAACTTTTACTCAAATGTATATTATGTCTGTAGGACTTTTGGTATTGAAAATTGGAAATCACTTTAGCGAACGAACGAATTGAAGTAGTTGATCAAATGTTACTCAGATGTGTGTTTGATCACGTTTTGGTATAGCCCCCATATAACTGCACCTCCCTCTATTCGATTCTATTTTGATGATTTTAGCGACATTATTTACCGGAATTGTTTCAAATTTGGTATATGAAATTCGTAATGGATACTACAGCCTATGACAGAAAAGTTTGTGTGCAGGTCCACGCCTTCGTATAGCCCCTATATAAAATGGGCACTGCAATATATTACAAAACCAATAAAGAAAGTCCTAAAGTCGGGCGGGGCCGACTTTATGATACCCTACACCACTTTGCTAATTTAGTAGAGCTCCACATAACAATTAAAAGTTTTTATGGGAGAATTCAATCATACACGCTATGATTATAATTATAATTTAAAATTCAAAGGACTAAATATGCCGAAGCATTTGTATCTTTTAAATTCGGACTTGTATTGCCCATTTGGTGCGAAATTAATTTGAAACCGGCAAAATATATATATATATATGGGAGCTATATCCAAACCCGAACCGATCTCGATAAAATTTGGCAAAGATATTTCTGAGCTGTATTTGATATATTTCCCTGAATATCGTTGTTACGGAGTGTATATTACGGCTGTGGGTAACAAATACAACAAATCAGATGAAAAATATATATGGGAGCTATAGCTATATCTAAACCGATCTTCATCAAATTTGACATACTAGCTTCTAGACTCAAGTCGTAAGTGCCAAATTCCATACTATTCGGGCTGATATTACACATTTGGTGCACAATATAAGGCAAATCGGACGAAGATATATGTGGGAGCTATATCTAAATTTTTACCGATTATCTCCGATTTCAATAGGTTTCGTCCTTGGGCCAAACAAATGTTATTTAGAAAATTTCATGTCAATCGAGTAATAAATGCGACCTTCATCTTGTTCACAAGAAAACATGGACAGACGGACTGACATGCATAAATCAACTCAAAAAGTGATTCTATGCAGATCCTCAAAAGTAATTATGGGTCTATCTCGCTGCCTTCTCCATATTACAAAGAAATGCACAAATACATAATACCCTGACCACCTTGTGGTGTAGGGTATAAAAATTACCTATGCATGCTTTCGTATAGCCCCCATATAACTGCACCTCCCTATATTCGGTATTTTGATGATTTTAGAGACATTATTCACCGGAATGGTTTCGATTTTCGTATTTGCATTTCGTATCGGGTACTACATCCTGTGACAGAAAATTGTCAATGCTGGTCCACGTTCTCCTATGGCCCCCACATAAAGGTATCTCTAAATATTCGGTATTTTGATAATTTTAGAGACATTATCCACCGAAATGTTTTCATTTCGTATTGGAAGATCTTAATGGGTACTACAATATATGACAAGAAAAATTGCATGCGCTTTCGTATAGCCTCTATATAACGGAATCACCCAATATTCGGTATTTTTGTGGTACTAGGGACATTATAGACCGGAATTGTTTCAAATTTCGTATTTGTAGTACCTCCTGATTTTCGGTATTTTTATGATTATAGACACAGTATAGACCGGAATTGTTTCAATTTTCGTATTTGCAGCTCTTAACGGGTACTACAACCTGTAACCGAAAATTGTCTATGCTTGTCCATGTTATCGTATAGCCCCCATATAACGGTACCAAATAGTACTATTTATTACTTTGTACGCCCATAAGTACAAATTTCAAAAACTACCTCCGTATCTCATTTCTATACTCTGGTAGTAATAAAAATTTTAGGATTCCAGCTCCATCCAAATTAAATCTCCAAATTAAAATTGTACGAAATTTTCGTACGGTTTGTACTTTTCGTATATTTCAAATTTTAATTTTTTGACTCTACCGAATGCAGTACATTTTAGGACTTTTCATACACTTATAGTGTGAATTTTCAGAACCCCAGCCTTATCTGCTACCTTCGGATTAAAAGTGACTCACCCTCACCCTTATTATACCCTCAACCATATGGCTACAGAGGATATATATCATTTCATACGGTCAAAACCCTTTGAGATGATAATTTTGCCATTAACAAACAAATGACTTCAATGGACTCTCCACGTTGTCTTCAGCCTACATTTCACCCAAGGCTCTTTCCGACATTGCCCCAACTTGCTTTCAATATATTATCCACAAGGCCTTCCATATACCATTTATAACCTATTTGCCCTTGTAATCTAATCTACCTTCTATTTATTTCCAGTTTCTTTTATTTCGTGTCGCCGAATTGTTTTTTTTTTTTGGATCCGAGATCGATGACCCATTTGGGCTTACAAGAATGTCCATTTCGCCTTCAATATATGGCATATTTTGGCCCATCCAAAAATCATTCCCAACCCTAGAAGTTCTTTCAAGTCCTTTGTAAATAACGAAGTATATGTATTCTTGATCAGCGTAAAATTCGAAGACGATTTAGCCCCATCCGTCTGTCTGTTTTAATCACGCTCGAGTCAAAACGAATAAAGATAGGAAGCTTTAATTTTGCACAGATCTTTTTTGTCCTTTGTCTGCAGGCAGGTCAAGTTTGAAGATGAAGTCAAGTCAACTATATCATATAGCCCCCATATAACAAGACACCTGATATTCGGTATTTTGATGATTTTAATCACAATTTTCATGGAATTGTACACAAGGAGTTCTTTATCCCCATATAACTGTATCTCCCGATATTCGGTATTTTCATGATTTTACCCACATTTTTCAATGGAACTGGCTTAAATTCGATACAAAGAGTTCTTCGTAACTACTTTATCCCCTGAAAAAGAATTATCTACATAGGTCTACGATATCGTATATCCCCTATATAACTGTACCTTCCGATATTCGGTATTTTGATGATTTAAACCACATTTTTCAATGGAATAGTCTGAAAATCAACTCGAGGATTTCCCTCTGAGTACTTTACCCCCTAGAAGGGAATTGTCTATATAGGTCTACGTTTTAGTATAGCGCCCATACAACGCTACCCCGAGATGTTTGGTATTTCCAGGATTTTCGCGACATTATTCACCAAAATTGCGTCAAATTTCGTATTTGAAGTTCGTAAAGGGGATTACAACCTATGACTGAAAATTGTCAGGTCCACGTCTTCGTATAGCCTCCATGCAACGGTACCTCTAGATATTCGGTATTTAGATGATATTTGTTTGAATTTCGTATTTGAAATTCGGAATCATTACTACAGCCTACGACAAAAAAATACTTATCCAGCACCACGTCTTCTTATAGTCCCCATATAAAGGTTTTCATCTGAGCAGAATTTTTCTATAATCGTAAAAGGAGATTTTCTCGACCGCACGACAACAATTACCCATTTATTTTATCCACAATGCGTAAGCAAAAAAAATCCTCTCAAAGAGCGAGAGAGAGAGAGAGAGGGAGAAACGCACAACAAGAAAAATACATAGTTCATACCCAGCAGTCCTCTGGCCATTACAATTTAATACCCATCCAAATGTATGCTATATTGTCAATAGGAAAAAATGAAATAACAGTGGTTAATAGCATACAACTAGCATCCGAATCGGATGAGTCGTATTGCTATTACATTGTGAAACAAAATCCATGTTAGAAATAAAGAACAAAACAAAATACAATAAAAACTGTCCATCGCACTTGCATCTGAATCGGATGCCTTTGTATTGTTTTGTAACTTTTTTTGTTTATTGTTGCAGCTGCTGTTGTACCGTTATTCATTTTTGATGCTTCTTTCTTTTTTGAAGCAAAATTTTATTCTGTGAAGTGTTTTTGAAAGTGCAAGTTGTGAATTTTGAACAAAAGTTAATAAAATAAATTAATAAAATAAGAATATAGTAAGTGGAAGCAGACAATTTAAAAAGAAATGCACAGTTGAGGACGGACTGTTTGGAAAACAATGATATTCTACAAAATGAGCAGATTCCATGCATTCCAAAATTGTAGAAGATTTTGGAAAATATGTAAGAATATTAAAAACTCTCCGTTATAATCCATTAATAATTTAAATTCTTTCAGGTTAGTATCATAAAAATTATAATTTCGCCAGATTAAAAAATTCTGCAAGATTAATGACATTTCTATAATATTATCTTACAGCTATGATGGTACCCAAAATAAAAAGGCGTTTAAGGAATATAAATTTTAATCATGGCCATTTTCGGTAAGTTAAATTTCTTCTTACATATTTATTGAAAAGTGATATTATATTACCTTAAAATGTAGTCTATTAGTCTATTCTATAGTATAACTGTTTAATATTTAAAAATTGTTCTATATTTTCTATCCTTATTTCAGAAGCTGTCATATGTGAAGGATTCAATGAACAGGATTAGAAATTGTTTCAAATTCCCTAAGGCCAGACACTTCCGAACAATGTCCTACAATAAAAAACTGGAAAAATATTTTTTTTTCCTTTAGTTTAAGCTTTATTTCTTCCCACGTCTTTTGAATATGATTTATGAATTTCGTTTTTATGCATTATTTCTAATTATAATAAGAATATTTTATTGTTGAAAACACTGTTAATAATACGAATATTTTAATAAGAGACAGCTGAAATTTAAGTTCCACAATCTAAAATGTTGATGGAATCGGACCCATCCAACCTTCGCTTACAATGTTGATAGATTTCGGACCCATCCAACATTCGCTTACGTTGTCGGTCGATTTCGGACCCATCCAACATTCGCTTACATTGTCGGTAGATTTCGGACTCGTCTGACGGCCTAGGCCATCTCTGTGTAAATGTAAGTAGAAATTGTATATAGGCTTTGGATGGGTCGCACCTACATTGTCATTGGTCTCAGATGGAAGATGTATGTGCTAAAAAATCCGCTGGGTACAAATTGCTCAGAATTCGGACCTAAGTCGAAAAAAAAAACTTCAGACTTTCAGACCAGACACATTGGACGTCCGACATTTGGTTCGCTGGGAAGTATCATAGGGTGCGTTAGATGTCAAACCTGTAACGGTATACAAACATCCATACCTACATACACATATAAATACAAATAATGTGACATTTAATGAAAATGTAATAATGACAATGAACACTGAGAGTACACACAGCACAGTCAACCAAGAACTCGGCAGCCAGCAACTGCAGCATCAATAGCAAACAATTACACAACGACAACGCTAACAACATCAACTCATAGCAAATTTCCAACAACAGCGTTCTATTATGCATAACGACAATAACAACAAAAAGAACATGCATGCAATCATATGCCAGCGGTGGCGACCAACGTAAATAGTACGCAATAATAAATTTCTCACACTTTTGCAGTGCTTAAAAGCTAACACAGAATGACGCAAAATAAAGTCAAGCCTATATAGCCTAGCTAATGCACAGAAAAAAAAGAGAGATGAAAAAACGTTAGTCCGTATGAGATACACCTAACCACATTGGGTGGCGGTGGTGGTGTATATATATCTCATCCGATTTGATATTTCAGTTCTGTTCCATTTTCCAGACATTTACTACTCCAATTTTAATGAAATTTGGAATCTGTAACGGAATTTGTCTAAAAATAAATTTCTCAAATGTTATTGAGATCGGTTGAGATCTGGATATAGCTCCCATATATATCCTCGTCCGATTTCATGTATTTAATGCAGCATACACGCTATGTCTAATCAATTTCAATGAAATTTGGAAAGTCTAGAAATAATTTGCCAAATAATATTGAAATCGGTCCATTTGGACCCTAATAACTAAAACTTCTATTGTCTTCAAAAAAAATTCTATGTGATATTCTGCAGTAAGACCAACTTGGACTTGAAAATATGGACCTCTTAAGGTGGCTTATATGCTTTCCTTTGTCATTCCGTTTGCATAACCTCGAAATATTCGATAAGGCGATTTAGCGATGTCTGTCTGTATGTCTGTTGAAATCATTATAGAGTCCACATTTTGTATTCGTGAGCTTCGAAATTTGGCACAAAACTTTATATCATACGCAGGATGATTGGTATTGGAAATGGGCAATATTGATCCAAGTTTGGATATAGCCCCCATATAACGCTACCTCCCGATTTTCGGTATTTTGAAGGTTTTCACCACAATTCCTTTTCCCGCCTCTCAACATATGTTTATTACTGGTCCACTAATTGGTATAGCCCCCGTAAAAGGGAACGTCCCGATTTTCGGTATTTTGAACGGTATCTGCATAATTGCATATTATACCCTCAGCCATATGCCTCGAGAGGGTATATATCATTTGATACGGCCAAACGTGCCTCATCGAAATAACTGTTGTAGACCCTAGGTCTCTTTGGGACAAATTCGTTTCAGAACATTTGGAGTCGATCTAAGGGTGACCGCCCGTCCATATGTATGGCTGGTGCACGCGATAACTCTCGAATGGAGTATCCGATTTGTTCCAAACCTCTTACATCCTAATATTATTATCAAACTTAGATCGAGTCCGAGTTCTGGTACCTCCCCCACAAAGTGTCGATATTTTCAAAGAAAATAATTTACTGCACAGAAAGAGAAAGGATAATCCGATTTTTCTCCAACTTTGAAACTCCTAATATTTGCATCAGTGTTAGGTCCGGCGCGAAAATGGAAAATTTCGGTCCACTCCATTAAGTACCTCCCCCACATAGGCTCAACGTTTTGAATAATTATAACTCTTAAGAAATGTGATGTAAGAGTCCGTAACAATATTTTTATTAACAGAAGGTCTGGTGCGAAAATGGACAATATCGGTTAACTCCTTCTGGTACCTCCCCCTCAAAGGGTCACAGTTTTGAATAAACAAAACGATCATAAAATCCGAAATAAGCATTAGATTCGCTTCATATTACACACGTCCAATTATTTCTACTAACTCAAGGTCTGGTGTGAAGGTGGGATATATCGGTCCACTCCTTCTGGTACCTCCCACACAAAAGTGTCATAATTTTTAATATCTCTGAAGCTCATAAAACGCGAAATTAACATCCGATTCCATTCCGACTTGACACATCTCAATATTTCTCTCAACACAAGATCTTTTATAAAGATGGAAGAGATCGGACCATTCCTTTTTGTACCTCCCCCACAAAGGATCACAGTTTTTAATAACAAAAACGATCATAAAATACGAAGTAAGCATCCGGTTCTCTTCGTATTACACACGTCCCATTATTTCTACTAACTCAAGTTCTGGCGTGAAGGTGAGATATATCGGTCCACTTCTTCTTGTACCTCCCTCACAAACGGTCACAGTTAACCAAACGGTTCTCTTTATATTACACACGTCCCATTATTTCTACTAATTCAAGATCAGCTGTGAAGATGGGATGTATCGGATGTAACTCCTTCTGATGCCTCCCACACAAAGAGTTAACATTTTGAATACCTATGAAGCTTATAAAATGAAGAATTAACATCCAATTTCATTCAGACTTGACATATCTCAATATTTCCGCCAACACAAGATCTGTTATAATGATGGTAGAGATCGGGCCATTCCTTCTTGTACCTCCCCCACAAAGGGTCAAAGTTTTGAATAACAAAAATGATCATAAAATCCGAAATAAGCATCCGGTTCTTTTCATATTACACACGTCACATTGATTCTACTAACTCAAGGCCTGGTGAGAAGATGGGGTATATCGGTCCACCTCCCACACAAAGGGGTTAAAATTCTGGTACCTCCCTCACATTGAGTTCAAAATTTTAAAAAATAAAACGCTCACAGAAAGCGAAATAAGCTTCCAACTGTCTTCAAATTTAACACATACTAACTCAAGATCTGTTGTGACGATAATATATATATCTACGAACCCGTTCTGGTACCTTAGCCACAAAGGGTCACAATTTTTAATAATTTTATCTGTCATGAATTGCGAAACAAGCCAGCGATTATTTACAACTTGCTATATCTAAATATTTCTCTCAAGCAGAAGCCAGAGATGAAAATTAGATTATTTCGCGAAATACACTTTTTCGAATATTTCTACCATTTAATCGAATTTCGAGAGCAACTTTTCTGTTCCTTTGTTGTTGCAAAATGGTCAGGCTTAATCCCTTTATTGTTGTTTTTATAAAACAACGTTTGTTTATTAGTGGAGAACGATGGTAATATTTACCAGGGGGTAAGGCAGGGAATACCTAGGATTCGGAAAGAGCCACCAATCCTCATCAGTTCCCTTGTTTTTGGTCTGGGATATTCTCCCCAGAAGTTATTTTAAAAATAACTTCTATGACTTCTGTTCCCCTCTTTTTGAAAATAAAATGTAAGCCGCTATATTTCCAGGGAAAAATTTTTTTCTTCGAGTTATCCAAATACGTCGAGTAATTCCCTCCACTGTGATTGCCGTCTATATTTCTTTTCCATCCATGTATGTGCATAAATATGTATGTACGGACATATCTGCCCATCCGCCGCGGTTCGACCTTCGTTCATTTTGCGTTTTTGTCAACAACAACAGTTGGGCTTGTTGTTAGTCAGTTAGTAATTGACTGCAACTACGTGTGTAGATAGATCTGCAGCTCGTTGAGAGTGGCGGCTGACAGCCACCTAGACGATTAGGTGGTGATAAAGTAACATGAATGAGGAATGAATAACTGAATGAATTGTAGAGTAAATATTTATATATTCCAGACCTAAACCTACTCCTCTAGGTCTCCCTCTCTCTTTACCCCAATTAACTAGAATTCACAGTTGTTGGATTTTTTGTCGCATACTTGTGTGCATTTTTTCTGCTATGCAATGTGAGACACGCAGAAAAACGTGTAAACTACGCAGATAATGAATGGCAAAAACAACGACAACAACAACAACGTTGCGTTGAAAACTCCCGCCACTCTTTACATCTCCTTCATGTCATAATTCACAAGCAGCCATGTAACTATGAAATAATTGCGGAAAAATAAATACGAATGCGAATGTTGGGGGTATATTGGTGGCTGCAGGCACTGATAGGGGAGAACAAACGCATTTGTTGGCGGTGACAATAACTGCGACCGCTATTTTTTCAATTATGGTTTAAAAGCAACAACGACAACTACCACGGCAATAGAAAAACAGTTGACTTTAACAATTATGAATGCAAAGTGAAGTCATTCAAGAAATTATCACCGGCATTATACGTTTTTTTTTTTGTTGGAATGGTTGTTGGTGTTGTTGTTATTAGCTGTCGTTGATTGTGTAATGAGTACCCACAGACCTGGTTATGAAAATTGTGTGTGAGAATTTTTTGCGTCGTGTCGTTGCTTTTGTTCCTCCTGGATGCACGATGCATAGCCGAGAGTTTAGAACTTAACTGGCCTGCCATAAAACACTAGTACATCTGTAAATACTGCTGGAGACAGAGTACCTTTAGGGATTTACTACAAGGTGAGATAAAAAACTGCAACAATGTCAAACGCCATAATTTTTACATTTTTATAAATTTTATTGAATGAAAAAAAAATTTGGGAAATAGCATCAAACTTTAGAATAAGTTTAGATTTGTTCGAATCGGTTACCTTTGGCACGAATTATGGCCTTCAAACGGCCAATGAAACCGTCACACACTGCCTGAATGTTGCTCTGCGGTATTTTGGCCCATTCCCAGCAAAGCGCTTGTTTGAAGTGATCGACACTTTGGTATTTAATGCAAACCTTGCTTTCCAAAATACTCCAGACACAATAGTCCAACGGATTGGTATCCGAAGATTTTGGTGGCAATTGTGAGCTGGAAATTAAGCGAGGAACCTCATTATGTAACCATTCTTAGGTGGCGCGTGCTGAGTGCAATGGTGC